AGTACCACAGGCTAATGACCTTTGTTGTCGAAGCCTCAACCATAATAAAAAAAAAAAATATTATTATTTTTTTTATTTTTATTTATTCTTCAAGAAGATAATCGACCCAACTGAACATGTTCGTGTGGGAGCCCATAAAAATATACTATTAGTTTAGAAAAGTATCTCTCATCACTGCTGTACTATGTACATACAAATACAATGTACAAAGTACAATATAATATAATATATATTATATAGGTACCTACTACAGTACACATCGAGACGACAATTAATTATTTCAATAATTATTAAAACAAATCGTCATTTTATATTGAAACGAGATCTGTGTGCAGTCACGTCGCGTCAGTATCAATTCAACTTACTTTAAAAACTTCTACTTAGAAAGAAGTCCGCCGAATTCGAATTCTTATTCATTGTTAAATCGTCTTCAAAAGTCCGCCGAATACCTATTGTTATTTTGAACTATCTATGAATTTTGTAATTTTTAACCACTAAACGAAACACTATAATCTATCCAGTTTTTGATTTATATGAGAAATGCACAGACTGCGATGAATAATAATTACCTACTCTAAATATTATGAGTAGGTACCTACAATATTATAGGTACTATTATTATATCAAGTATACCTAGTCTCGAAATGTATCTCTCGTCTTTGCATTTCATACAAATACAATATAATATATTATATACTATTTTATACCTACTACAATACGCATCGAAACGACAATTAATTGTTTCGAGATTAAAACAAATTGTCATTTTATATTGAAAAGCTATCCGTGCGCAGTCACGTCGCGTCAGTATCAATTCAACTTACGTTTAAAACTTGGACTTAGAACGAAGTCCGCCGAATCCGAACGCTTATTCATTATTAAATCTCCTTTCGTTATTTATTATATTGTTTTCTTGTGATTTTTCTCGTTTGCGTTCATTTCCGCATTTCACGTATATGTATATTATTATACCATTGAACGAGGGAGTCGCATTTCAGTCAACCTTGCATTTGTTTGCCGGAATTAAATTCAACTAAAAGAGTAATATATATTTTTTTTTATCTAAATAAATGTTTTAAAAAATGTATTATATATAAAATATTTTAAACGAAACCACTTGTTTGGAACAATTTCCAACCCTGTGTGGCTGCATGGTAACCTACTGTACACATCCACTTAGCCACATTTCCTACTTAATTTTTTTAGTTTATACTTTATACCACGTTTTTGAAAATTACTCGGAATTTTTTATTTTTATTCCCCCCCCAAAAAAAAAATTCTAATTAGATTCACTTTCCTATCAACAAAAAAATGCTGAAGTAGAAAATTGGATACCAACATTATTTTGCCCCCCTCAGAATCTTAAAAAAAACTTAAATAAGAAAATGATCTAGAAGCTTCTAATAAATATGTGTTATTAACTTCATGCGTTTTGAAATGTACTGTATTTTTTTTTAAATGTCTTATAAAATATTGGGTGGGTGGGTAGAATAAAATCTTTGTGTGAAAATCGTTCGCCACGCCACTGGGCGGATATCGTTACCATATTATGGCTATGGTCATTTTATATTAGATTTTATTTACAAAATTAGTAAATATACGTCAACAACACAGACCACAAGTATATTACATTTATTTATTTGTGTCAAATAACCGTACATCATGCCATATAGTCATATATGTCATAATATAAGGTAATATAATATTATACCATAAACCTATGGCCTATGGGTATAGATATACGCCTATACTAGTATATAAGCACACACATAGATATAAACACGGATGTGTAATATTATTATAGTTAGGTGTCGAGATAATTTACGCTTATAATATAACATAATATTATTGTTAATTATATATTTAATAATATTACATTAATAATTACGGAAGCCGAACATTTATTCGACAGTCGTATTATGGGATCGGCAGCTGCAAAATAATATTGACTATAATATTATAATATAGTTGTTGACCGGATCTGGCTCGATCGATCGTGATACGTCCCGACCATTAGCCGGAACCGAATATTTTTTTTTTCGTTTACACGCACAGTGACGCATGCCGTTGCTGTCCTCGATGATCTGTGCGTCGGATACGTAGGTAGTTCTCAGTTCGTCTTGTTCTCTGCGTGCATCGCGCTCAACAATGACAGAACGGCGCCACCGGAAGTTGGAAAGAGGCTTTAACAATACATTCGACTAGCCACTAGCGTATCCGGTAAATCATGCATTGGTTCCTCGGATGGATTGACAGTGTTCGATTGTGGTTGGATGTTCAACATAATATTTCGTCATCACAATAATATTTTCCAAACGATTGAGTGCGTTGCATCATAATTCATAATAATATTTTAATCGACGACTTCGTGGACAACGCACTCAATCTTTTCATCTATATTTATGTATAGTACTATTCTATCGTTGCTACTGCTGGTTACGTTCTCATTACTGATTTCTAAATTAGTGTTCGACGACAAATGTCATGTTAACACATGCATTTAGTTCGACGCCATGTGTCATGGCCGAGGTGTTTAGATATTATCTTACAACGGGAGGCGGGTACAACTCCGCAGGGGCGGTCTGGAAATACGAATTTTCCCGATGACCTGGACCATAATATTATGGCCTGGTTGCCCGTTCATTTTATATGAGATTTTATTTACAAACTTGGTAAATACGTCAACAATTATTTGTTTGTATTAAGACTTTAAATCTATGAAATTATTGTAGATATTATCACTATAATTATTATTAATTGTGTTACATTTTAATAGTATCGTATGAGTATGAGAGAAATCATCGGATATAAAATTTAAAAATATCACATACACAATATTGTAGACATAAAATAAAATAAAAACAATATCTCGACGTCCGTTGTTAATTATTATAATACAACACCCGGGTAGCGTGTAGTCCATACTTTATAGATGTATAATAGTGTACTTTAGAAGTTTCAAGTACCCACGAATAATATTACACAATCACAGCAAAATAACTAAAATAGTTATTCTAGGTTTTTTTTTTATGTAATTTTGTCCAAAGTTGAACTTAAAATTACTATAAAAATAAACTGTGCTTATGTATTTTTTAGATTTTTTGGTAACAGATATAACTACTTACGTGGAATCTTGTTTTAAATTTTCAATCCTTAGATATAAAAGTTGAACATTTTATAAATTTTTAACTACAAAATAATTATTAAATTTTAAATGTGATAAATTTTGTCAAAAAACGATCTTTAAGTGCTTATAAAAAAAAATTAGGCCTATGTATTTTTAATATTTTTCAACTGATATTGTAACAATATAATATCAGAAGCCTTGTATTAAATTTTTACACTTTTTGGCACAACAGATAAAACTTTATTGATATTTATAGAATAAAAAACTAAAAAACTAGGAAACTGAAAATGTCCGTAAACAGCTCAAAAAGAGTCAAAATATTTTCAAAATTGTATGGTGTATAGGAAATGCTATTATAAATATTCAGTGAAATTTTCATGTATCTACAGTTATTCGTTTTTGAATTACAACAAAATAAGGAAATCGCTACATGAGAAATCGAGTGAATATCCAATATTCTAAAAATTTAAATGCTCATAAAAATTTAATTTGACTTTCTTATAGACATTTTTTTTTTTGATAAAGGAAGATAATCTCATAAGGAATCTTGTATTACATTTTAAACCTTAGATTTAAAAAGAAAAATTTTTACGAATTCTTAACTCAAAATAATTTGATAATTTTCGTGATTTTTCCATATTTTGTCAATTTTTGAACTTTAAATGCTTATAAAAAAAAACTGCGATTAGGGATTTTTAATATTTTTCAAATGCCATTGTAACAATATAGTAGGAGCCTTGTATTAAATTGTCAAGCTTTTTTAACCAACAAATAAAATTTGATTGATATTTTTAGAAAAAAACTAAAAAAAATGGAAAATTAAAATGTGCCTAAACAGTTCAAAGTAAATCAAATCATTTTGAAAATGTTATCGTGCATACAAAATGCACTTTTACTGTCCTAAAACGTGTTGGCAAACAAGTTTTTAAACATTTATTATTTTTATTTATTTAGCTTTAATGTTTCATTGTTTCACATGTTATTACTCTCCCAACACAAGCTGAGTTTACAGGCTGATTGTTGTGGCTAAATGTCTAAATATGTGTAATATATTTATGAGTAGGTATGATGTAGATATTTTTGTGCTACAAATAAAGTTTTAGGTATCATTATAAACAAATTTAGTCAATTAAAAAAAAAAATTATATAAAAAATATTAATAGAAAAAATATAATATTAGGTATGTATTACTTACCTAATTATACAATAATAAAAAAAAAAATTATATTTCATTGGTTGCCAGGTTAGTTTTATTGCACTTTGTTTCTCGATTAAATGATGACTGATTCGAAATGATTAGGTACTAGATAATAGTCAGTGGATACTAGATAGTGTAAATAAATAAAAGAACTAATGCGTGTATAGACTCGTATTTATTAACATAAGAGATGTTCCTCTCGTCGGCGTCGGGAACTAACTGACTGTCCGACTGCCGTGTGCAGTGTTGCAACCGTACAATGATAACAATTACAACATAATATAATTACATAATATAAAATAAGTGACAACATTGTAATATGTGATTTAGAACCTTACATTCGGCCCAAAAAAAATTAACAGTAAAATAAAGTATAATAAATCATGGTGTAATAATAAATTGATAACATAACTAAATGATAAAATAATACTATCTTGTATAGAATTACAACTTGTGTTTTTTTTTATAATAATTAAATTAATGAAATAATAAATTACTGGCTTTAGTTAACAGCCTTAATAGGAACACATGTAATAATAAGCACCTCAACTAAATACTTAATAGTGGTACAAAATAGTAACTGATAATAAAAGGTAAGTATAAAAGTATTTAATGTTTTATAATAATTTTTGTATAATACCTATCGGCCCAAAAAAAAATTAATACATAATAACATTAACCTATTATATAATCTTTTAACCAAGATGGTGTCTTGCGAGTACGTTTAGTAATGCTGTTTACCTTAGTGTCTATGGTTGGGGTAGGAGAATTTATTTGGATGTTGTCTGTGAGAGAAGTTGGAGGTGATTGTTGATTGTTCTCCTCAAATTGAATCTCTCCTGGATCATCCAAATTTGGTCTGTATTGAGCTGGTTTAAGTGATTGTACATGAACTATTCTGGAATGTTTTTTGTTTGTTGCATCGGCCCTGGTAATTTTATAACAAACTTTTCCAACTGGGTGTTCAATGACAAATGGTCCTTTAAAATTTGGTGAAAGTTTTGTGTCATTTGTAGACTGCCAGTTATACCATACTCGTTGACCTGGCTGGAAGTTGTGGTGGCTTCTATGTTGATCGAATCGTTTTTTGTTTATTTTGTGATTGTCTTTTAAGTTTTCAATTGCTATACCTCTACTTTCTGCAAGTAAGTCTAGTTGATCCATTCTTGACAGGTCTGACTGTACTGAACCTAGTGCCATATCCATAGTAGAGAGTTTTGGTTCATAACCATGTAATAAGTAGAAAGGTGAAAACTTTGTGGTGCTCTGTTGAGATGTGTTTATAGCTAAGATTAGGTTTGGTAGCTTAATGTCCCAATCATCTGGGTGCTCTAATGAAAATTTAGATAAAACTGAGATCATGGTTGCGTTAGAACGTTCTACCAGTCCGTTGGCTTGTGGGGTATATGGTGGACATAGTGAATGTTGTATTTCATATTTTTCTAAATACAGTTTGAACTTAGAACTTGTGAATGAAGAACCATTATCCGAAATATATGTAACTGGTAGTCCATAGTGATTTATGATATCATTTTCAAGTGTGTGAATGATATCGTCTGTGGCAGTAGTACATGTAGGTCTAGCTAAAAGAAATCTGGTAGCGTGACAGATGTGAGCTAATATGTAACAATTGCCCGCTTTAGTAGTTGGGAGTGAAAGGTGATCTGCTGAGATGACTTCAAAAGGAACTTCAGGTATGGGTCTCTCGCCTAACATACCATATGCTGATGTGGTTCTTCTGTTGACTTGTTGACAAGTCTTACATCCACGAACATAGAGGGCACAGTCTTTTCTCATGGAACTCCACCAATAGCGTGCTTTAATCCTGGATAAAGTTTTCTTAATATCGAAGTGACCTGTGTTGTCATGACAATATTGTAAAACTGTGTTGCGAAAAGAAAATGGAATGACAATTTTACTTACTTCAAAACCATTTTCTATATTGACATGAACTAGGATGTTATTTTCATATTTATACATACATTTTATTTGTAGAATATGAACCGTGTTATTTGTATTCTTAAGTTTTTTATTGATTTGTTGGCAAAAGGAGTCAGCTTGTTGGGCATGTACTAATTTATCGTTTTGAGAGTTAATGATTGCCAAACAACACTGATTTTCATCGTTAACAGGTTGAGGGTATCTTGAAAGATGGTCTGCAATAATGTTTAGTTTACCAGCTCTGTAGATGGGTTCAAATTCGAATGCTGCTAAGTCAACAACATATCTGGCAAACTTTCTGTTAAGCTTAGCTTTATTGACTATGTAAGCTGTGGAATAATTATCCGTTATGAGTTTAAAGGTTTGACCGACCAAATAAAGGCGAAATTTTTCGGTTATAGCCCAATGTACCGCTGTAACCTCTAACTCATTGCTATGGTAACGTTTTTCTGGATCTTTAAGGGATCTGCTTGCGTATTCTATTATACATATAGATCCATCATGTATTTGGGAGAGACAAGCACCTAATCCTTCATGACTTGCGTCGGTTTCTACGGTAGTTGGCACGTTTTGACGGAAGGCTGCAAGAACTGGGTTCGAAGTAATTGCTGATTTTAACTTAACAAAAGCATGATGTTCATCATCTGATAATTGAATTTTATAATTAGAAGATTTCTTACTTGATACTGGTTTGTTCTTCAACATATTGGTTAAGGGTCTTGCAATTGATGCAAAGTGATTTATATACCTTCGTAATGCATTGGCAAATCCTAAAAAACTTCTAAGTTCCTGAAGTGTACTTAATGTTTGGTACCTTGTGACTGCTTGGGCACGTTCAGGGTCTGGTCTGTCTCCTTTCTCGTCTAATATTCTGCCTAAAATCTTTATTTCCTGTGCAGCGAAAGTGCACTTGCTTTTAGTAAATTTGAGACTGTATTTCCTTGTGGCTTCAAAAAGTAACTGTAGAAAATTCAAGTGGTCTTCAAATGAATCATGTCCTGCTGCTAAATCATCATAGTACTTTGCCAGTCCTAATTTAAGTAAATCACCATAAGCAATAGAAATTGCTCTAGCTAAAAGAGCTGGTGCATTCGCAAGTCCAAATATAACTCTGCAAAATTCGATATGGTAATCAGGAGTCACTGCAGCAGTTTTAAAAATATCATTTTCTTTAATTTTAAAATTGTTAAAAGCGTGTTTGATATCTACCAATGATTTGAATTTTTTACCAGCTATTTTACTGATCATCAAGTCCATTTGATCTATTGGAAATGGGTCTTTTACTGTAATTGGATTTATAGTTCTTGAGTAGTCTACAACCAATCGTTTCGGGGTTGACTCATGAAATGGCTGATCTACAACAAAGGCAGGTGCTGCATAAGGCGACGTTGACATGCGACACACTCCTTGTGATATCCATTTTTCTACTTGATTTCTCATAAATGTTCTGTCTGGATCGGTTGCTTTATAAGGTTTACATTTAATAGGCTTGTCGTTGGTCAATAAAATCTCCATCTCAATGTCCGGAAATTCTCCAAGTTCAGCTTCAGGTGTTGAAAAAATGTCCTCATATGAGTTAATTAGAGATTCAAGTTTCTGGGTTTGGTCTTGATTGAGAAATGGTTGATCTACTTTTGTGGTTTCTATATCAGATATTTTGGTAACAAGTGGTCTGTTGTTAAATCTGGATTGTACAACACATCCAACAAATGCAGTTTTGGATTTTACACAACCGAATTCTTGAATAGACGATGGTGTTGTTATACATACAGCACCATTTGGTTCGATAGTAATTGTTGCCTGTACTGCTTTTTGCCAATCACGACCTAGAATCATTGCAATTGGTAATTTATCACATATACCTACTTTTGGCATAACATAATCAATGTTTCCGACTTTTATTCTTAGACTTATCCAACCACTTGGTGTGCAGTTACCCTCAGGCGTAGCGTATGATCCATCTTGCCATGGAAATATGGGTATGTTATCTGGAACAAAACACCTTCTGAGTAACGTAACACATGATCCAATATCGGGTAAGGCATCGATAGTCATGTTGCCATTTATTGTGGCCGGAATTTGAGATACTCTAACAAAATCTTCTGAGGTAGAATCCTCTTGAACACAATTTATTGTTTTGGTTGTCAATGTCTCTTTAGGCTTTACCTCTTTATTAAAATGTTTCTTATTGGCGTAGGTGGTATCTTTTATGTCTGTCTTGTTGTAAACACGAGCTGATTTTTCTTGAAGTGGATTTTTACAATTGTAACTGACGTGTCCTACTTGCTTACATCTATAGCAAGTTTGATCTTCTTCTTTATGAACTGATGGGTTGAAACGAGGAATATAGTTACCTTGTTCTTTTTGGTTGTCTTGAGATTTGAAACTAGTTGTATTTTCGGAAGTATTTTCTTTAACATACTGAACTTTGCGAATGGCATCCAATTGCACAGCCCTATCTAAGAGGTCCTTAACAGAAGTACACATTGCTGTCGTCAATGGAATTGCCCATTCGTGTTTAGTTATGCCTTGTAAGATTAAGGAAACTCTATCAGACTGTTGTAGCGGGAATGGAGCTTTGTCTATAATAGCATCCTTGTCATAAATGTAATCTGCAATTGGTTCATTAGAGCGTAGTGTGCGTTTGGCTTGGAATTGTATAAATTCAGAAAGAGACATCTTAACTTTAAATCTATCTATGATGCCTTCTTTCCAAGTATACCAATCGTCAAAAGAGCGACCAGATACTTTGTGCCAGTTTAAGGCTGATCCTGCTAATCGTGAGGTGGCGTTGACTAAGGTGAGAGATGGAGTCCAGTGTGCGTGTACTGAAATGCGTTCAACTTCTTTAACCCAGTCGCAAACATTTTCGATTTTTTTTCCAGAGAATAAAGATATTGCTTTAGCAGTATCGTTAGTGGAAAAGATTTGTACTTGATGTTGAGAGTTTAGTGATAATTTATCGGCGATTGCTTGTTGCGATTGTGATAATCGGAGAATGAGTTCCAGAACATTTTCGTTGGCTGGTTGGCTGTTTTGGGTTAAGCTCATCGTGGCGATAGTGTTCTGCAATTCAATAATTTTTTGAGCGTCTTCGTTTCGTTTTTTTCTAGCTGCAATAAGGTTTGCTTGTATTCCGTCAGCTACTACTCGCTCATTGTCGCTGAGAAGCATGTCTACAAGTTCTTCTTTTTGACCTGTATTAGGTAATAATCGGAATAATAATTCTTCTCGAATTTCCTCGGTCTTAATTGCCTTTAATACTGTCCTTTCCGTTGAGTCTAAAGCACTCATGACTGAGGATTTGACGAATTTGATTAGCGTTTATGACAATACTGATAATTGATACGTAATTTATCAGTTATCACAATATCATAGATAATACGAGTTATATTATCTATGCACAATATAAACAACAATGTTGTCAGTGTACGTACTGAAGTTGTTAACGGCTTCACTTGAATGTTGGTTACAGTTAACCTCAAACTTGAAAAAGGGTAGAATAAAACGTTTCGAAATCCACGTGCAACGTAAGCATGTAAGACTTCAAATAAAAAACGGAAAACGCACTTCTATGTAAATTTACGTTAAACGACACTTAAAAAATACAATAGAACACGTTTCGATTTACCACAGCGCCATGTAAATAAATAAAAGAACTAATGCGTGTATAGACTCGTATTTATTAACATAAGAGATGTTCCTCTCGTCGGCGTCGGGAACTAACTGACTGTCCGACTGCCGTGTGCAGTGTTGCAACCGTACAATGATAACAATTACAACATAATATAATTACATAATATAAAATAAGTGACAACATTGTAATATGTGATTTAGAACCTTACAATAGTTAGCAGTGCAACACGATTGAGCACTTTTTATCATTTTACCTGTAAAAAGCACAACAAGATTGCTCTCTTTTTACCTTTTTATATTTGAGAAAACATAACACGATTGCATATTTTTGATAGATAGAAATTCCGAAAAATTATCATTGTCATTCGAGTTAGTCGATTTTGACGTCAACAAGGATTTGTTTCACACTAAAAGAAAACGAAATAACTCAAACTCATATTAATTGAAAAATATATATTTTACTAGTTTATCAGCTGTTTATATTATTATAATAGTAATAGTTTACATTATATTTGTTTGTATTTTGTCCTATATATTATCAGACATGTATAAATGCATAATAATGCATATTATACTACCTATATTATATAATAATATGTATATTATACATTTTACGAGTTGAATACTGACACTTCCAGCGAACTAGGAAAACACTTTTAAAATAACACACAATAATTTTTTTATATTACCTACTATAATGTACGTACCTGTCCGTTTTAAAATCCATGATGTACCTACACACAATACAAGCTAGTTACTTAAGGATATTATACGTATAATATAGGTAGATGACTATCAGACTAAGATATAACACGTAATTGAATTTTGAGTTTCAATAATAAATATCTACCTATTCGATTTTGATTTCCTATTTGATAAAAATTTGTTTCGTATCTTTAAAAACTAAAAAGTGTCTATGATATTGTTTGGTGTGTATTTGTACCTAAACTCTATACATAATTAGGTAAGTAAGTACTCTATAATTTGAACTCCGTAGGTAGGTACCTACTTTAAATATAAATATAGATATATAAATACCAACAATCGGTGCGCAATGAATATTTTTTTTTTTTATTTAGCTACAATATTCCCCACGATAGACATTGCTTACAAGGTTAACTCTCATTCGTAATAAGTACTATTATATTTTATCTTACTTAGGTACCTACCTATATGAAAGAATACAAACATTTTGACGTCTCGAGTGTAGCTCGACGTAAAATATTATATGGAACGACTACGATATTCCCAAATCCCAACACGGTTATATTATCATGTTTGCCGTTTGGTATATAAGTATATTATGTTGTGCTATTATATTAAAACGAGTAAAGGTTATACGAAAGAGTTATCCAACTTCCAGCTTTCCAAACGAGAAGAAGCCCCCATGATTGTGTTCGACCAAAACGGCAAGATGTACACCAACGTTTACCCCCCGATCGGGCACCGCGGTAACGATTATAAGTTATAACACACGCAAATCCGGTGACGAAGATTGGGTCCGCAGGTATTTGCCGAAATGGTTGGTGATTGGCGGTAACAAAACCTAGGTAACGTAACCTCTGCACACGCATCCGTTGTTATTAAAAATATAATTATTAAATAATATATACCTACACGCATGCAAAGACACAAAGGCTTCTTCTTGTTGGTTTGCAAATTGGAAAGTTGGACTGCAATCGCGTACGGCTTACGACGCGTCGTCATCGAAATCCTCGGAAATTTCGGCGAAATCCTACCCGCGGACGGCCGAGAAGAGCTTGCTGCTGTTACGTCGTTGTAGCGGGTCGTTGTTGCGACGGTGATGACCTCGGCCGATAGCGTATCCCTTTTGTCGGACGACGAGTACGGTCGTCGTTCTGGTGTCCGAATCGAACTTCCGTCGTCTGACGACCGAATACGTTTGTGTCTGCAGGTCACAGCTGCAGCAGGTAACGACGGCATGGGAGTTAACGAGATCCGGTCAGTGGTCACGTTTGTAAGAAGACTGCAGTGGCGTCGTGGGAAACGTCAAAAGACTGTCGGACGAAGCAAATGACGGTTGCTCCGTGGACCACGACAAGGCATCTGACGACACTGGAAATAGCGAAAATTCTTCGAAAACATCACTACTTCATGTTTCCTCATATTAGTATATTGCCTAATTGTTTATTTTGTTCATGTTTAGAAAAGAACCCATGTAAAAAATAAATTACTGTAGGTAACATTATCATTTTGTATACACGCATGTTATTATGTTCTTTGACACTTTGCTATTGGTTATAACTTATAAGTTATTAAAGTTATAATACTTAATTAAATATAGGTACTATTTTATGCAATGATTAAACACAAAACATAATATAGTCACTACGTAGCACCAAAGGGGAGGGGGCAACGGGCTTGCCCCTAACATTTTGATAATTTTATTAAGTATATTGACTTTAAATAATTATTATATAAAAAAAGGTGCTCTGCTGTATAGTAGGTTACAAGTGAGTCACTGTATAATAGATGGTATTAAATTTGAATTCAATGATATAATATCATTGTATAAGAAAAACGATTCTGAGCAAAGACGGTATGCCAGTCTAGGTATAAGACATATTATTATATACTTATCTATCGTATTAAAAAAAAAATTACCTAAAATAGGTACCGTAAGAGCGGGATACTTTACTCCAAAAAAAAATTTTATTGATATCAATCGTAGCACATTACGATTTTGAGATCAGAGATTGTAGTTTTTTTTATATTATTCTTATTAACATTACTAATTTTTTCAAAAATTACGGACATGAATCTATTAGTTTTCCTCCAAGATGTATATCATGTAAAAAATGGTTTTCAAAAACACAAAAATACATAACGGAAAAGTTATCCAAAATCTAGGGGATTGAAATTTAATTTAAAATGTATTGAAAAAAGACTTTTAATCAACTAAAAAAAAAAAAAAAAATATATTATTAAGTATAGGTTCAAATAAGTTAAAACACAAGCACTAAACATTGCACCAATAGTTATTATATGCATTAAAGTAGGGTAATTTTAATCATTGTGCAATGTAACCTGCAATGTATTTTAACTTTGCTCCAAACTTTTGGGAATAAGTAAGTAAGTCACTAGTACGACATTCGGATTTTTTTGAATTGTTCTTACCTCTTAACATCTATATATATAAAACAACGCGAACAGGTAATTTTTATCTTTGTTATTGAAGCTATAGTATAGGTTCAAACTAAAAAAGAAATATATTTGGAGCAAAGTATCCCGCTCTTACGGTACCTATAATAAATTCAAATTAATCATATCACAATATCCATTAGGTACCTACTTATAATGCGTTATACGTCAACGACAAACCCTGATACTATCATAGTCCATACTTTATAGCCTTATAGATGTATAATAGTATACTTTAGAAGTTTCAAGTAGGTACCCACGAATAATATTACACAATCACAGCAAAATAACTAAAATAGTTATTCTAGGTTTTTTTTTATGTAATTTTGTCCAAAGTTGAACTTAAAATGACTATTAAAATAAACTGTGCTTATGTATTTTTTAGATTTTTTGTAACAGATATAACTACTTACGTGGAATCTTGTTTTAAATTTTCAATCCTTAGATATAAAAGTTGAACATTTTATAAATTTTTAACTACAAAATAATTATTAAATTTTAAATGTGATAAATTTTGTCAAAAAACGATCTTTAAATGCTTATAAAAAAAAATTGTGCCTATGTATTTTTAATATTTTTCAACTGATATTGTAACAATATAATATCAGAAGCCTTGTATTAAATTTTTACACTTTTTGGCCCAACAGATAAAACTTTATTGATATTTAATAATTATAGAATAAAAAACTAAAAAAATAGGAAACTGAAAATGTCCGTAAACAGCTCAAAAATAGTCAAAATATTTTCAAAATTGTATGGTGTATAGGAAATGCTATTATAAATATTCAGTGAAATTTTCATGTATCTACAGTTATTCGTTTTTGAATTACAACAAAATAAGGGAATCGCTACATGAGAAATCGAGTGAATATCCAATATTCTAAAAATTTGAATTTCAAATGCTCATAAAAATTTAATTTGACTTTCTTTTAGACATTTTTTTTTTTTGATAAAGGAAGATAATCTCATAAGAAATCTTGTATTACATTTTAAACCTTAGATTTAAAAAGAAAAATTTTTACGAATTCTTAACTCAAAATAATTTGATAATTTTCGTGATTTTTCCATATTAGGGATTTTTAATATTTTTCAAATGCCATTGTAACAATATAGTAGGAGCCTTGTATTAAATTGTCAAGCTTTTTTAACCAACAAATAAAATTTGATTGATATTTTTAGAAAAAAAACTAAAAAAAAATGGAAAATTAAAATGTGCCTAAACAGTTCAAAGTAAATCAAATCATTTTGAAAATGTTATCGTGTATACAAAATGCACTTTTACTGTCCTAAAACGTGTTGGCAAACAAGTTTTTAAACATTTATTATTTTTATTTATTTAGCTTTAATGTTTCATTGTTTCACATGTTATTACTCATAAAGTGTATCATTCAATTTTTGTTATTTCTAAATTGCATACATACTTTGTATAGTTCTATTTTTTTTCAGACTATTGACAATAATTAATTAATTAAAATGTTGAAAATAAATAACCTATAAATAATTCAACTTTGTGTTGTAACAATTAATCCATAAATTAAATAGTATTCTAAAATATATAGGTACTCATGCTGTTGCTTATTGCATATACCTACCTTGTTTCATATTATATATTATGGAAAAACATAAAAAAAGTGAAAAAAATGGTAATTTTTACATAAAACCAATTTTAAAAAAAATCCATTTTATTTTTTGGTGTAACTCAAAAAAAATAATTGCATTAGGCACTTGAATTTTTACTAAATATTTATTTTATAATTTTTTCCACGTATGGTAACATTTTTGAATACTTAAGTAGTTAAGTCTTAAACTGTGCTAGTTTTAAAATTTAAAATTATTCTCGAAAAAATAAATATATTTTCAATTTATAAAAAAGCATGAACAAATGTTCATAAATAATGCTAGGTCCCTTATAAATTTCATAAATATTAAAGATTCATATGCTCAATTATTATATACATGCATTTTATGTTCAGTTTTTAACAAAATACATCAACATTTCGAAAATGTTCAAACTATTTTTCAGTTAAAAATGCATCAAAGTTTTTTCTTTCATAGCTAACATTAGACATTTTGATAGAAGACTCCCTATAAATGTTCCTACCTTAAACAAAAGAAAAAAGTGATCCAGAAAGTAATATTATTTATTTATGAGCGTTTGAATTTAAAATGTTTGCGATATTGAATTTTAATCAAAAATTCATCTATCAACTTTTTTATATTTTGTTGTAATTCAAAATTGAATAATCCTAGATACTTACTTGAAATTTTAACCAAGTGTTAAAATTACCATTTTCCTCCAGGAGTTAACTTATTTTAAACACTTAGGTATTTTTAAATGTTGTAAATTATTTTTCAGTTCGAAATTCATAAAAGTTTTCATTCTCATAGTTATGGCCTATAACATTATACATTTTAAATTGAAGGTTCCCAACCTTATGATATTTTCGAATTTTATTATTTACCTACTAAATTTGATTATTTATACACGTATTGAAGTACCTATGCTAGGCTGACACAACGTCTCCGCTCAGATTCGTTTTTCATAATATTATATAATGATTTGTCTTTGGATTCAAATATAACACATCCATTACATCGATTATCGACATGCTTGACAACTACTGAACAGCAGAGTTAAGTACCCACTTGTCCACCTTTTTTTAATTATGTAGGTATCGCAATTCGCAAGCTTATAGTTACCTATTGCATATTTAAAAATATACCAGTGCTTACTTATAGTTTTTCCGCCACATGATGGGTAATGAAAAGTTTTTGGTAATACCTTTAATACCTAAATAAGTATATCATTATTATAATATGTAATATTATAATTAATACTTAATAGTTATTAATTATAATTAAAGAACGGATTTAATTGCATTGAAAACACGCAAAAATCGCATATTAAAATTGTATAATTGCACCAAAAAATACGTAAAAACTTAAATAAATTAAACTATAAAAATTCAAGTTAGGTATATAAAAAACTTAGATACATTTTACTTTTTTGAATTAAAATTGATAATAAGATACATTTCCAAATTATGTTCATTAACATTAAATTTTCTATTACTTAAAATATGTTTGTACAAACTACAAAGAAAAATTACATTCTACGTCTACACTATTTATTGGTGCATATTTAAAACAATTCAATAAGGTAGGCGTTATATCTAAATTAATATCTTTTTTACCTGACATGACTTCATAATATAAAGATTTAATAGTTTTATACCCTTCATTTTTTTCAATTACATACATAAATTTGTCTTTAATTTTTTTTCCATCTGTGCCAGGAATATTTTATATTTGTTAAAATATCTTCAATTTTTCTAAACATACTCATACTTTCAATAGATAGTTTTAGATACATGAAAAATATTCAGAGAAACATCTGCAATCATTAAAACAACAATTTTTTTTAAACTTACTAATAATAAGTCTTAAATGAGTAGGTAATTCATCTTTAAATGATTTTTTTTCTGTTTTCCAATGAAACTATAAGAGATAGCCAAACAATTGGTCAATAGTTTTGACATAACATTATTCACAATAGAAACAAAATCCGATCCACCGATAGATTTTAAAATATTCACCTAGAACAACACATATTATATACTTATATAATATTATATTTTACATAATTTAGTAGTTGCAGTTTATGGTATACCATTTGAGAATAAAACACACTATCAACAGCCATGTGCTTTTCAGCATCCAACAAACTACATTCTGAAGAATATGGAAGTCCAAATTCTATTTCCGGTGGCAAAATATTTATTTCATTCATAATTCCATCAGAATTAGCAGTAAGACGTTTTGTCAGTGTCTCGACCATGTTCTTAATTTCATCATTTTGTTCTTGTAACATATCAAACTTTATCAATATTTTTGACATTTTTTTTGATATTTCTTTTTTCCAAACTAAAAGGATAAAATCACACTTTTAGTGGCAAAAATAATTCACTTTAGGTATAAATATATAATAATAACTAGATAGGAAAATGCTATTGCACGTTGGTTGCAAAATATATTTAAATAGTTTAGTATGAGATTTTTGTTTCACCCAATTATGTTTTTCACAACTTATTTATAATATGTAACACTATAATATCATTTATATCATAGTTAAAAAATTGAATTAATTAAAATATATTTTTTTAACAAATTGAATCAATACTACATTTAGAAAAAATCTAAAAATCATAATATCAACGTTTCATTTATATTGTTGACAATTTGAATATTTTTAAGTCACAAAATCAATATAACAAACAAGTTTTTTTTTTAGAATATAGTACTTACAGTTTATACTACTATTTTTTAGTACCTACCAATAAATGTTTAAAATTATAAAAACAGTTTGTGTGATTGTAAAATAGGTAATGTAATTAATTCATCTATAGAGGTAAAATTAATAAATCAAAACATTTACCTGCATTGTTACTTGATTTTTCACTGGACTTAGAAAGATTATCCTTTGGAAACTTAGACAATGGTGTTGACATTGGTTGAGAATGTAAAACTGATAAACTACTAGGATAAATATCGTCTGCTTCAAAATCGTCCATGTTCAACAAATTATTTCCAGGGTTGATTTCATGCAAAGGACTGGGTAAATTAGGAAAAATTATTTCTTGAAAGTTGCTGGTTGTTTTAGTTGTGTCAAAACTTAGTTTTCTTTTCTTCTTAGGAAGTAGTGTTGTTAAATTATTGCAAAGTAAATCTTCATTATTTAGTTCAAATGTTATGGCAGCTCTATCATGTCTTGAACGTTTCTTACAATCAGTATCTGAACCACTTTCCAACTCTGAATGTATTTCTGCTTGTTTCAATTTAAACATTCCATCTGTATAGTTATCTAAAACAAATGAAGACAAAAACAAGCCTTAAATGAAATGAAACACTCAAAAATAAAACTCTAGTTTCACCTATATGGCTATATTTACAGGTATATAGGTACCAAAGTATTGTTTACCTGATGTTCCAAATACACGTTGAATGGAGAATGCATTCCAATTTTTGTCAGGACTAGATCTATTTGCGATTTGTTTATTGACTTTTATTTGATTGAGTGAAGCTGGCGGCCAATAACAATGTGTTTCATTTTCTGTGAGCCAGTTAGTAGGAACTAACTGTATACCATCTTCGAATTCAACAATTTTAAATATTGGTATATACATAGTTGTTATTTCTTTCAACTTGAATATTATCTTGTAGACTAAAAAGAATAAAAGCTAGCAAGTAGGTATTTATTTATAGAATACTAACTTTTTTTAACATTTATAAAACTAGGTGTTATGTAATTACAATAAAATAAATAAAATAATGTATATATATAATAAAAATTACAATTTAAAATAAAATTAGCAAATTAGTTTATTGTGTGTATGAATGAATGATTGGAACTGCAATATATTTTTCTTTAAAAGGAATCAACCATATTTTTGCTTTAATTGTGTCTATTGGCCATATTTGTAAAGTTTGATTTTTTCCAATAGAGACTATTTTAATATTTAAATCAATAGAACTGCATGGTATGGTATAAAAACTAGAAGGAGTTAATGTTTTAAGATCATACCCACAAATATATATCTTATCCGAAGAAATAAACTTAACAATGTTTTGAACAAAAACAACTACATTGTCATTTAAAAGGCAAAAACAATTTTTGGTACCATCGCATAAAATGGATAATTTAAATGAAGTATACTGTTTATACTGGATTACTGATGTCTTAATTGTTGATATACTATTTGATAATGGGCCAGATGTATGCAATTTTTTTAAACCCGATTGTCCAATGTTTTCTTGTTCAGAGTATCTCTTAGCTAATTGTTGAAGAGGTCTTTCACTTTTCCTTAACATTTTTTTTTATACTACTCATATGATTTTCAAATCTAAAAGCACTAAATTCATCTAATGCTCCATATTTTTGTACATCATCTGCTAAATGTAATACATTATGCACGTTATGCGAAACATTTTCTTTTCCATATAGTTTTTGAAATCCCAAAACAAATTTAATCAATAGTTTTTTTGCATAAGCAATAAATGTTTTATTTGTACAATAATAAGGATTTATTAGAATTGTTATTGATACATGTAACACAATAAAATTGGTGTATAAATTGTTTTACAAATAATTTTTTAAAACTATTGGTCCAGTATAGAGTAAAAAATTTCTCAGTTATGTAGCTTTAAAATGCTTATAATCATATAATGAACGAGGTTTTCTAGAAAAACCATTAGGTGTCATCTTCTGATAATCAGTCAGTTTGTCAGAAATAATTTTAATGTCTCTAGCAAGCATCTGAATAGGAAGTGGTCCAGATATCCAGAGATTGATCATTTTTTTTACAACTCCAAGGCAAACTAAATGCATGTAATCCAGAGGTACATTTGAAATTAATCCAAATTGTGGAATATTATTTAGTATAGATATACTGTGTTGATAATTATCGGCATAATCATTGTTTTTGAATGCTAAATCAGTTCTCAAACCACTAAAACCTATAATTTCATGTAAATGACCATTAACTTCACTTTCAGTTGTATCTAATGGAAAACAAATTCTATTGTTTATATAGCTACCTTTAATTATACATTTGGAACAACTATAGTATCCTGAGTGACCTTTGGTACACAAAACAAATGATTTAGCCGGGGCGTCGCAAAATAACCCATGCATTTTAATAGTAATTAATTTATTGTTTGGCATTTTAAATCCATTTTGAACTAAAGGAACTATTTCATTCACAAATTGTTCCAAGTACATATTAGAGTCAATAGGTTTCTTATGTCCATAGTATGCACCAATCATAAAAACTTTTTTAAACTTAGTATCTGAACATAGAATAGGCCAAATGCTACTATTAGATGATTTAGCAATTGGCAATCCAACAATATTAATTAATAAGTCTAAGGCATCCACATCATACTGTTCTTCAACCATATTCAAAATACACTTTTCAAGACCATAATACCAAAAGGAACCATTTCCAATCTCGGTTAAATTATACAAAGGTGATCGGGAAGTTTTTAATAATGTTCGAGCATCTAACGGTAAATTATGATTAGTATGGTTGTTTAATATGTATGATTTCTTTTACTTTATTATCATTATTAAATAATATTGTACAGCTGTGTGCGTTTTGGTCGTCGTTTGACCGACCAACACGCACACACTATTTTATATCTTATCTTGTTAATATTATAATAACGACCCGTCGACGGTTAATCGTTGTCGGCGAGGCCTACAGTTGTTACCCATCCGCGTTTCGGATAACTCGTATGTAATGTTGAATTTTAATATACACTGCCTTAATAAACTAATTTATAATTTCGTGTAAATTATTCTTTTGGCCATCACATTATTTTTTTTTACGCCTACAGTTTTCAGAAGTGGGATCGTATGAATGAGTGGTCGATGTACGAATGCCTGTGTTAACACGGAATGCGAGTAAACATTGTGCAGTTATTAATGAAGGTACCAAAATGAACGAGACGAATGACAAAAATAAATCGAATGTAAAGAATAATCCGGAAGTAGTTAATCCACAACAAGGGGACGAGAAAACGAGTAAAACGGAAGGAATGAATAAAAACCATGAATCTACGTCATCTTCGTCAGCGTCGCCAGGTTTTCCCGTGAATCCGGTAGATGCAAACACCTTGGTCGACACACTCGTAAGACAAAATAGTATGTTGATGGAATTGTTGAAAGTTCAACAAAACGGCAATCGACCAACGAATGACATAACGATTGCTCCTGACCTAAACAAGTCTATTCCGACATTCAATGGTCTGGGTACGGGTTCGCAAGCTCTCGATTGGATTCAAACTGTAAACGGCGTCGCGAATTTACATCGTTGGCCGGATAATTTCAAACTCCAATCTGTGCGGGCCAATTTAGAAGGTGCGGCTCGACACTGGTTTGCGTCCCGAGAGATAGAACATTGGTCAGATTTTGAAAGACAATTTCATAAAACTTTTGTCGGCGTAGTTATGATGGGCGACCGTTGGAAACAAATGTCGCGGCGCGTTCAGTTACGCAACGAGAACGTACGTGAGTACTACCACGAAAAGGTATATTTATGTCGACAAATTGGTATGTCATTTTACGAAAGTAAAATTCAAATACTAGAAGGTTTATACTCGAAAGAGTTGAGTATGTACTTGCTTGGTCGTAACCACGTGGACGAGGACGATTTATTAAGTGACATGGTAGAATATGAACGACTCGATACGTCCCGTTCTGTACGATTTCGGCAAATATCAAGTACTAAAGAAGCCCTGTTACAAAAATCGGTGACGTCGAATCCAACTAATGCCGTGACAATTAAAAAGGAGGACATGAAAGTGGCCGTAGGAGAAAAGGGTGCAGTACCGCCGCGTGCATATTGTTTCAATTGTGGCTCAAAAACTCATTTGTCACCGCAGTGCCCAAAACCTAAACGTGAAAAGGGAGGGTGTTACGAATGTGGGTCGATGGCACACCAACGAGGATCTTGTCCAGTATTCATGCGAGGTAATGATGACGGAAAAAGGGAAAAGTCGGCCGGATTGATGAGCATCGATGTTGTACGAGACCAGGACTCGCCTGATGAGTGTCCAGCGCCGTACGAGGTACAATGTCAATTCAACGTTCCAGTAGAAGAGTCAGAGTCTTGCTGCGTCAATGTCAACGCCGTGGTCGACACAGGAAGTCCAATCAGTATAATCAAGAGTGAGTTAGTTCCAAGTATATTATATACCACGCAAACGGTGAGTAAAAAACATTTTTGTGGTATTAACGGCGCGAAGTTGGATATACTCGGTATATTCGAAACGAACGTAATAATTAATAATTTTGAAATGTATTTAAAATTTTATGTTGTGTCTAATTATACTATGAAAGCGAATGCAATTTTGGGAAGGGACTTTTTAAACAAGAAAGGATTTAAAATTGAATTTAAGAATAATACGGTAGACATAGTAAAATTAGACACGGGAAATTCGGACGAAACCGATATTAATTTTAAAGAAATATTGTGTATCGATTACGATGATTGTACCGATAAAAGTAACGATAATACAGCGTTGAATGTGAATCCCAAATTAAATTCAGAACTGAGGAATGTATTTAGTGAATTATATGACGTCGATTATATATCAAATAAGGAGTTACGTAACGAGGATTTTGATTTTGATATGAAAATAATTCTAAAACACGAACAACCAATTACGTTTCGCCCTAGACGTCTGTCCTACAGTGAACAACGTGATTTACGAGTTATTATTGATGAATTGTTAACTGAAGGTATTATCAGAGAAAGCAATAGCCCGTACAGTAGTCCGATAGTGTTGGTCCGTAAAAAATCAGGTGGTTATAGGTTATGTGTAGATTACAGAGAGCTAAATAAAATCACGATTAAGGATAATTTTCCGACCCCACTAATTGACGATCAGTTAGATCGATTAAAAAATAAAAAAATTTTTACTTCTTTAGATTTAAAAAACGGCTTCCACCATGTACGTATGAATGAAAAATCTGTCCAATATACGTCTTTTGTTACTCCTTTGGGACAGTACGAGTACTTAAAAATGCCGTTTGGTTTAACTAATTCCCCACGAGTATTTAATCGATTTATTCAACTCATTTTTCGAGAATTAATTAGCCGGGGGGAATTATTGGTATACTTAGACGATTTACTAATAGCTACCGAAAATTTTCCCCAACACATAACAATTTTAAAAGAAGTTTTCGTTTTAGCTGCCAAGTATGGTCTACAATTTCGGTTAGACAAATGTTTTTTTGGTTATTATGAAATTGAATATTTAGGTTACTTAATTAATGAACATGGTGTACGACCGAGCTTGAAACACGTCGACGCCATGCTAAACTACCCCGTACCGAAAAGTTCGAAACAAGTCCGACAATTTCTCGGATTGGCAAGTTATTTCCGACGTTTCATTTCAAATTTTTCAATAATTGCAAAACCTTTATACGATCTTGTGAAAAAGAATGTTGATTTTTCGTTTGGTGAAAAAGAACGAGACGCGTTCGAGTACTTAAATTCGGCACTAACGAAAACACCTGTATTAGCTATTTATTCACCTACAGCCGATACCGAATTGCACTGTGATGCGAGCTCGACCGGTTTTGGTGCGATACTTTTTCAAGGACAAGCTGTTGCCGATAATAAAATGAAACCCGTGTTCTATTTCAGTCAGCGTACGTCGCCTAATGAGTCGAAATTCCATAGCTTTGAACTCGAATGTCTAGCCGTCGTGTATGCAATTAAACGGTTCCACATATATTTATCAGGTATATCATTTAAGGTAATGACAGACTGTGATAGTTTTAGACTCACGTTAAATAAGAAAGATATTAATCCACGCATTTCTAGGTGGGCATTATTCCTACAAAATTATGACTTTGAAATTTTTCATCGATCTAATAAAAACATGCAACATGTTGATGCTTTTAGTCGTTGTCACGCTATATTAATTTTAGAATCAAATACTTTTGAGCAGGTGCTCGCAATCAGACAAAATACCGACGAAAATATTGTCAAAATTAAAGATAAATTACAGAACGGTGATGATAAGTTATACGAACTACGTAATGGTTTAGTTTATCGGAAAGAAAATAAGCATGTTAGGTTTTATGTTCCGGAATCTATGGAAACAAATGTTATACGATCGTGCCACGACGACATGGCCCATGTAGGATTATCGAAAGTAATTGAAAACATTTCACGTATATATTGGTTCCCCGGTATGAAGGCCAAAGTGCGACATTATATCGATAATTGCTTGAAGTGTATTGAATTTTCAATCCCCAGTGGTAAAAAGGAAGGTTTACTTTTTAACATTCCAAAGGGGGACAAACCATTCGTAACCATACACATCGATCATTTGGGTCCGTTAGAAAAAACAGGCTCCAGAAATAAGTATATTTTTGTTGTCATTGACGCATTCTCAAAATTCGTCCGCCTTTATGTGTGTCGTACTACGAAATCTGACGAAGTGATTAAACACTTACGTGATTATTTTCGAACATATTCCAAACCACTTCGAATAATAAGTGATCGGGGTACGTGTTTCACGTCACAAACTTTTTCGGAATTTGTTGAAAGTGAATCGGTAAAGTTGATATTAGTAGCATCGGGCACTCCTAGGGCAAACGGTCAGGTCGAAATCGTAAACAAATCCATCGTACCTATGCTGGCTAAGCTAACAGATTCTATAAATAAATGGGATCGAGTTTTATACAAGGCCGAATTTTCCATTAATAACACGGTACACAGGTCCACGGGACAAAGTCCAAGTATGTTATTATTTGGAATAAATCAAATAGGCGAAGTCAACGATGAAATACGTAGAATATTGGATAACATAGTGTCTGAGGATGTAATTGATTTCGAGAGTATGAGGACGGAGGCAGCGAATCGTATTATTAAATCTCAGGAAGCGAATAAGATACGTTATGATGCGAAACATAAACAGGCAACTATTTATAAAGAGAACGATTACGTAATGATAACCAACACGGACGTAACAGTCGGATGTAATAAAAAACTAATCCCAAAATTTCGAGGACCGTACGTTATTAAAAAAGTGTTAGATCGGGATAGATATGTCGTGAGTGACATTGAAGGTTTTCAGGTCACGCAACGCCCGTACGAAGGTATTATAGGACCAGATCGTATGAAAAGATGGGTTAAATAAATCTGATTAGGGAAAATTGTCATTGTATAAACTTGCGTTTTTTTTATATATATATATTTATCTGTACTACATGTATTACTATATATTTGTTATTTATTTTTTTTTTTTTTTGTCTGTATTCGCTATAGTGTCATTATTAATAACTATGTAGTATTGTTCGAGACGAACAAAATGTCAGTATGGCCGAACTGTATGATTTCTTTTACTTTATTATCATTATTAAATAATATTGTACAGCTGTGTGCGTTTTGGTCGTCGTTTGACCGACCAACACGCACACACTATTTTATATCTTATCTTGTTAATATTATAATAACGACCCGTCGACGGTTAATCGTTGTCGACGAGGCCTACAGTTGTTACCCATCCGCGTTTCGGATAACTCGTATGTAATGTTGAATTTTAATATACACTGCCTTAATAAACTAATTTATAATTTCGTGTAAATTATTCTTTTGGCCATCACATTATTTTTTTTTACGCCTACAAATATAACTAATAACTGAGATAATGCTGAGTGAGTAATATTGTTATTTATAGCCCAAACTCTAAGACTAGATTCAAATTCTTCTAAATGTTGTATAGACCTATTCAATTCATTAGGAACTGAGTTATTATGACTTGGTGTTAAATTGGAATCTTCATCAGACAAAATAAGATGATCAGAGGATGAATCAGATGCAGATGAATCTGCTAAATCATTGTTTAATACAAAATCATCGTTATTTGATAAAATTTTATTTGTACTAATTTCAAAATTGTTTGATACGACTGTTTGTAATGGCTTATAAGTTTCATCATTGTTGTCAGAACTACTACTACTTTCAGAATCAAAAGAATTATCATTTGTTAGTAAACTTGACTGATCATTACTAGCAATAATACGACGTATCTGACGCCTTAAACATGACAACAATGGTTTTCTTCGTTTATTATTGTTATTCATTATAATGCAGAAGTTGATGTTATACGACTAACAGCGATTTCTAATGAACTAATAGGTAGTTCATACAATTGATGTATAGGGTATCAAATTAAATAATAGTGTGTTGTAAAAAACATAAAATAACTTTTAGTGCGGCATCCACTTACCTATATTACAACATTCTTTAGCATAAAATAATTAGAAGTATGTAGGTACACACGAATCACATACCTATGTAAAGCGTAGAATCGGTATAGGTGCGTTATTATACAATCCTTAAACACGTGATGGATTGATATTTGATGGATGGAGATGACACTGTCTAGAATACCTACTATTTATTTTTTTTATACATTAAACATTTTAAAGGTTAAAACTCAAAACAGTTAACAAATAATATGAATAATTTAAGATTAACTACTGCAAATAATAATCTATGTTTATAAATATATATTATAATATACGTTATTATTATACCGCGCAACCTTGCATTATTGTGATAACTAAAAGACAGTCTGCGCGCGGCGTGGTTAGATAATTATGGTTTCCTATATAAATTATAACAAACATATAACTTTGTTTTATAACATTGTAATTTATAATCACTGTATCAGAAATGTATTTAAGTATAACATTTTGTAATATTTCTACAAATAATGTCTGAAATATTCCAGAAATATTATATATGTAATCAATATCAATATGTAATATTGTAACAGAACATGACGTTTCAGAAACATAAATAAAATTATTTGTGTTGTGTGGGGAGTATTTCGATTTCAACATATAGTACCTTATCTTTTATGTGGGTCACTGTTTAATGGATGGTATTAAATTTGAATTCAATGATATAATATCAATGAATAAGAAAAACGATTCTGAGCGGAGACGGTATGTCAGTCAAGATTTAAAACATATTATATACATATCAATGGTAATAAAAAAAATATGAAGTCTTATCATTGAGCATACTTCTTATTATTTATACTAGTGTAGATTGTATGGATACTCCATAATATTTTGATTTTTTGATTTTTCAGTTTCATATATCCCCGAATAATATTTTTAAATTACAACAAGAAACCAAAATTAATTATTAAATTAATAAATTATTTTAATATGTAATTTCATCCAAATTTGAACTCAAAATGTCTATAAAAATAAACTGTAATTGTGTATTTTTTAGATTTTTGGTAACAGAATTAACTACTTACAGGAAATCTTTTTTTAAATTTTCAATCCTTAGATATAAAAGTTGAATATTTTATAAATTTTTAACCATAAAATAATTATTCAATTTTAAATTTGATAAATTTTGTCAAAATTCGATCTTTAAATGCTTATAAAAAAAAATTGTGCCAATGTATTTTAAATATTTTTCAACTGATATTGTAACAATATATCAGAAGTCTTGTATTACATTTTTACACTTTTTGGCCATTTTTGTAGCGGTTTATATAAAAATGTCTTACCTCAAACCCAATTAGTTTATTATGACGATCCGAATGAGCTAGTAACTAGATTAAATCTTCTGACATCATCACAAAGTGTTGGTAATACTGGTGTTAATAATGAAACTATATCTATATTAGAAGAACTACGTGAGAGAAATATTATAATGACAACCTAAGAGAGTATAGCTAAGGAGCTACATCGACCAGCGAGAAAAATATTTCCTAGACGCAGTGTGGTAACACGGTTTATTGACGACCTCTGGCAAGCTGATTTAATGGATATGCAATCTCATTCTAAAAAAAATTATGGTTTTAAATGTATATTAGTTGTTATAGATACATATAGCAAATATGTATTTGTGGAACCGCTGAAAAATAAATCAGCGAAAGAACGTACAAAATTAATGTTTAATATATTGAAAAAAGCTAATTCAAAATTTTTACAGACAGATAATGGCACAGAATTTTACAATACTTGATGCAAACCATATTTGACAAATTACTAACCGATCCAAAGCGTCAAACTATTAAAAACAAGACGACCGTTTGATTATTATATGAAAAAATAAGTTTCATTTAATAAACAAAATATTATTATACAATATACATGTATATTTTTATGTATTCAAAACTCAAAGGTCTCGGAAAACATAAACCTATAAACTATGGTTGGTTGGAAAAAAAATTTCTAATTCAAACATTGTTAACCTAACCTAACCTAACATTGTATCAACTCTGTACTATTAAATTGAATCTACTTATACACTGAGAGCATGTGATAAGAATAAAACATAATATTGAAACCAAAACTCTTTAAAACTATTCTTTATGATTTAAGGTGATATGTAATTAAAAAAAAGGTGGGCAAGTGGGTGTCGCTCTGCTGTACAGTAGGTTACAAGTGGGTCACTGTATAATGGATGGTATTAAATTTGAATTCAATGATATAATATCATTGTATAAGAAAAACGATTCTGAGCGGTGATGGTATGTCAGTCTATGTATAAGGCATATTATATACATATCTATGGTATTAAACAAAAAATTGACCTATAATAAATTCCAAATTAATCATATCACAATATCCATTAGATACTTATAACGCGTTATACATCAACAAAAACCGTGATACTATCATAGATATATAATAGTACACTTTAGAAGTTTCAAGTACCCACGAATAGTATTATTCAATCACAACAAAATAACTAAAATCGTAATTCTTGGTTTAAATATGAAATTTTGTCTAAATTTGAAATTAAAATGTCTGTAAAAAATAAGTGTGTTTATATATTTTTTAGATTTTTTGGTTACAGTATGAATTATTTAAGAGAATCTTTGTTTTAAATTTTCAACTCTTAGTTATAAAAACTGAACATTTTATAATTTTTTAATTCCAACGATTGATAATTTTCGAGATTTTGATAAATTTTGTCAAAATTCCAACTTTAAATGCTTATAAAAAAAAATCGTGCCTATGTATTTTTAATATTTTTCAACTGATATTGTAACAATATATCAGGAGCCTTGTATTAAATTTTTACACTTTTTGGCCCAACAGATAAAACTTTATTGATATTTATAGAAAAAAAAACTAAAAAAAATTGAAAGCTGTAAATGTCCATAAACAGCTCAAAAAGAGTCAAAATATTTTCAAAATTGTATGGTGTATAGGAAATGCTAATATAAACATTCGATGAAATTTTCATGTATCTACAGTTATTCGTTTTTGAATTACCACAAAATAAGGAAATCGCTACATGAGAAATCGAGTGAAAATCCAATGTTGTAAAAATTTGAATTTCAAACGCTCATAAAAATTTAATTTGACTGTCCGGTAGAGATTTTTTTATTGATAAAGGTAGATAATCTTATAAGGAATCTTGTGTTTCATTTTCAAATCTTAGATTTAAAAAGAAAAATTTTTACGAATTCTTAACTCAAAATAATTTGCTAATTTTCGTGATTTTTCCATATTTTGTCAATTTTTGAACTTTAAATGCTTATAAAAAAAAATTGTGACTAAGGATTTTTAATATTTTTCATCTGCCTTTGAAACAACATATTAGGAGCCTTCTATTAAATTTTCAAGCTTTCGCAACCAATAAATAAAATTTTATTGATATTTTTAGAAAAAAAACTAAAAAAAAATGGAAAATGAAAATGTCCCTAAACAGTTCAAAATAAATCAAAATATTTTGAAAATGTTATCGTGTATAGAAAATGCAAATATAAACAACCAGTGAAAATTTCATGTATATACGTTCATTTGTTTTGGAGTTACACCAATAACCAAAATCGATTATTTGGAAAACCAATTTTGCGTAAAAATTCCCGTTTTTCCTTAATTTTTATGTTGTTTTTTCCCGGCGCTTGTGAAAACTACTGGGAAATTTATACTTTTGACCCCCCAAAGTACCAACTAGATTCACTTTCCTATCAGAAAAGCTACTGATGAAGAAAATCCAAGCACTTTTACTGTCCTAAAACGTGATGACAGACACAAAAATATAAAAATATAAAAATATAAAAATATAAAAACATACATCATTGTAAAACCAATACATTCATCGCTCCGCTCAGAATCTAAAATAGCAAGTTTATTATTGAATAAAAAAAGTTTTAAAAAACAATAATTAAACATATTTTTATATTTTATAATATTAGATCTTGTAAAATCATATCGGACAATGTGTTAAAATGGAATTGTAATATTTCATATAAAAATGATGTGTCATCGTTCTGTAGGTGGTTATAATAATTAAAATCATAGTTTTGAATATATTGGTTCGTAAGTTCGTAACCTTTGGCAGGTGGACGGCAGACCACGAACATCATTTTTAATTAGGTCATATGCAGTGTTGAAAGTAATTTGGTAATTTTCTAAACATTTTTGCTTGTCTACCACATACAAATCTATCAAATTCTGTAATTGACGAAAACTTTTAAAAGTTCGTAACAAATGTAGAGAATTCTGGATAGCCTGGCGTTGAATTGAATCGTATTTGGTCGACCAATGACTGGATATCGTTTGTACATCTCTGGAAATTCATTTTTAAAAAAATTAAATAATAACTTGGAAAAAAACAATCTAATGAAATGATGAGAAAATTAGTGAACGAGCCACAACTTGTTTAAACAGCTAATCGTTAGTAAATAAGTATAATAAAAAAAATAATCAACTTTATCAATGAAAAAAAATTATTGTAAATTTGTTTATCAAATTTTAGATAAAAAAAACAGTGTAACCAACATGAGTAAAAATGAAATACAGTAAATATTTTTTTACGAGGCGAAATTTGGTAGACAATTGGTGTGAAATCTCTGTATTGTGTTACACGGTAAATCGGAGTACTCCAAGCGCGACATTCCTCCTTGAACATTCTTTTTTTACAGTGGAAAAGCTGGCTGTGAACATATATATATATACTACACACACACACACACACTCACCACACACTTTAGCACTCGGAGTTTTTCTCGGCGAACCCGTCCACTTTTCTTAAGTCGCTACACACACATAACCCACAGGTCGGTTGGTGTGCGAGTGCAGCGCACGAAGCAAAC